ACCTGGAATTTCCTGTTCTTATGCATTATTTTATGTTGAGGCAGGATCCAGTTGTCTTAAGTCCCATACAGTTGTGCACAAGCCTACACCCTGGTCTGTGTGACACTGACATAAATATAAGTAAATACCAGTTTGGTATGTCACATTTCATTCAGAGTTCAAAATGCCAAGTGTCTTCAAGTTGGTGGCATCCTTCTACTCTTTCCTCTTCAATGTACATGTCTGAATAGAAGTCAGACTTTTAATACTTAATCAGTAAAAAGAGAGAAATACGCTTTTTGTTTTTATTTAAACCTCTCAGAACACTGCCATCAAAAGAAACCCTTTTAATTACAATTCTTTGAAAATTCGTATTTGAAGTAACAAAAACTGCTTCAGCAAATATTTCAGCCTTACCTGCAAAAGACATTCAGGAGATAATTAAGAGCTACATACTGGTGAAAGATGGGTGACTCCATTCTAAAAGGTGACAAAAAGTCATTCCACATATGACTAGCAACGGAAGTGCCTCCGCTTTTATAGAACTTGAGAGAAAGATAAACCAGCATTTATGTCCCTTTCACTTCACTTATCTTGAAGAAATTCTTTTCTGATTCTCATTAAAAGACTTTTTAGAGCTTATTATTATAAAGCTATAAATAATACATGTTTTGGGGGGAAAAAAGAGTTATTTCCAAAAGGCAGACAAATTAAGACACTGAAATAAAACACAAAGCCTTTTACCTTTAGATCTCCTGTATAAACACAGTTCAGGACAATGCCTGCTGCTGTAATTATTAAGATTGTTCGGTAAGACGTGAAATTATCTGGTTGTCTCAGACTGCTCAGTCCCAACAGACAGGTGTATATTTCTAATGGTTTTTACTGCCATGGCATCTTGATATCCAAAGAAAAGAGCAGTATGACGAAGTTTAGCAAATGAAACAATTCCAGTATTAACCTGGAGCTGGTTCTGTCAGTTGACACAGTGTCAGTCTCTAGAGCTGTCTAGCTGTCATGTTTCAGTAATGTAGCCTTCACTTCAACATTAATAAAGAAGGGGCAGTAGACAGCCCCTTATTTAACAGTCAGCCCCCACAATGCAGCCTTCCCATGAAGAAGAAACAATTGTGCAAGGCTCTAAGACTGCCTCTCAACAGAGATGCCCTTGCAGCTGTCCACAGCCTTCAGATTCCAAAGGGAGAAAATTATAAATTTCTCCCCAGATCTTTAGAAGGCTAATCCTCCACCTCCAATTTTATTAATTTGATTTATGGTTCCTTTACCTAATCAAACAAATACACATAGTTAGGTTTCTGAATTTAGCAAGTAGGTAATGCAAAAGAATCACAAGCCTTACTCTTCATAGTATCTGCACTTCACACTGTATCTTGCTATCAAACATCATAACATCATCTGAAACCCCCTGTGCTTTAAAAGCTGAAAACATCTAAGGACACTTCAACCTTCCCAAGCATGCGTGTTCAATACACGATAAAGAACCTACTTCTACACATCTTATCCTAAAGATGAAACAGAAGAACAAAGTAGAAGTGAAGAAACAGAACTAAATACTAATGAAGAAACAACAGACCATAAACAAAGCCTTTTTCTACAGATTGACAGCGATTTTCCAGCTGGAAAGCAGACTTACATCTGAAGAGAGAAGTGGTGGTTGGGCAGAACTATATGTCACATTTTCAAGCTCCTATAGAATTTCTCACCTTCTAGTTTGTTGAGCAATGACTACAACATGAGAAAAGCTACAGATGATTAAAGAACAATATACTAAATAAGATGCATCTCCTTGTAAGGTGACTAAAAATAATACAATAAAAAATGAAAGTCTCAGTAGTTTCCTTTTTCATTTTCTTTTAAAGAAGGAAAAGTACTTACACAAAACTGTCACTCCAGCAAGACTGATATTATCTTTAATGACAACCAGAATTATAAGACATAGAATCATAAAATCAATTAGGTTGGAAGCATATTTTGTTGTTTGCTTTTACCCATTAGTTACTGCTCTAATATCTTTCTGACTCAAGAAAGTTAGGGTACCTGTGATGCAGGATAAACGTCCTCTAAAATTAAAACTCAATGACGTTTCACACATCCTCTCTGTCCTCCTCTTATTGTCAGATACTGCAATGCTGCAGTTTTTCATGCCCGATCAGGGCAAAGCTGCCCCCCCCAAAAACAGCTTTACCAGTGTTCTTTCTCACACTCACAGAAAAATCATTAAGTGGCTGGCAAAAAAATGTGTGCAGGTTTTGTAAATTTATTTAGAGGCAGAATAAAAATCTTCTATACTGTCTATCCCTAGGAAGCCACAGATAAATAATGAAGAAACCATAATGCAAATACTGTATCTCACATATGCATGCATGGAAATCAAAGTACAACCTTCATGCAAACTAGATACTGCACTTCTAAATAATATGCAACTAAAAAGCACACGCTGTCTAGGAGGAGAAAGAAATAAATTATGCCACTAATATCAAAGGATAAAGAAAGAACAAGAAAACTGGAGGGAACAGAATGGCAAAACACCAAGTATTTTCTGTAAAAAAAAGAGAACACACAGCTTAGAAACATGAATTTCAAATGAAGATGGAGCCCACAAAACCAGCAGAATTCTGCACACTGCTCCAAAGACATCATCGTGGAAATCTGTAAAACTGTCTTCTGTACCCCTGAAAGGAACAAGGTGAAGAAAATAAAAGCATGCTAAACAAGGCTATAGACTGCCAAAGAGACAGAAACCAAGTAACAAGAATAAAAGAAAGCACAGTTCAAGCTCTAACACACAAAAAGAAGCTCTTCCACTGACAATGTAAAACACCCGTAATACACAACAGAGAAAATTCTTTGTAAGTCACTAAAAGTCATTGAGCCGGTAAGAATACAGGGAAATACAAATGTTATCAGGCCTTGTCTGCTGTGTTTGTCTTCATCAAAAGCACAATACACTTCTGGGTTTTTTTTAATTGCAAGAGTTGACCTTAACCTGCTCAACAAAACCAACTAATGTGAAAGACAAATGTAAAGTGCTACTAGCACTCCTAACGTTATGGAGTTAGGACTGATGAAGTAATAAGCTGACTGAACAACTGTAACAATGTGAAGTCATTTCAAAATTCAAATCAAAATCCTGTTTTCAGTTAGGAAGTTGTAAAAGTGCATACTCGCACAAAAAATGTCAGAAAATCCATGAATCACGGTTTGCTTTATGTCATATGCTCCAGGTCAAAGATAAACTAAGGCACTAGAAGCTTCCATTTCTACTTCTTATGGAAAAAAAAAATCATTAAATCCTTCATCACAGCTCTGATCTGCTCCCTTCCACCATGCAACACGACCACAGACAGCAGAGAGAATCTTCCATGGCTGTTAACAATTTTGGGGCAATACGGTTATGGCTGAGTTAGCATGTGCCTTATGTGTTTTAACATATAAAACTCAAGTGTGAAGTTTTTCTGAACATCTGATCATGGAAGATCATGAGATTCCACCATGTGGCCCTAGTACTAAGTTTAACAACTTGTCAAAAGTTTTGGCTTGTAGATAAATAAGTAACTGTGGTTATCATGTATGACTGCAGCTGAGACATGACTGTGTTGAGGAAAAGATACAAGGTGCTGCCTGATTGTTTAAGGGCTCCTTTCATTCCCGTGGACTTCACTGCACTGTAACAGTGGTGATGGTTTTGCTGTGAAACTGAGATGTACATCCTAAATTCCATTAGTTCTAGTCCATTTATATATGGGCATGTCTATGCCTACCAGTCTTTCTATCTGTACCCATAGCTAACTCTTCTATCCTATTAGCTTTTAGAGATGCACAACTCCTTATTCACTAAACTTACCAGGCAACCTTGTAAGAGTTCTGCATGCAAGTAAAATAGTTTGACAAATGTAATATTTAATGACTTAAACTCATTCATTACTGTCATCAAAGTGCAGAAAGAAAGGAGTGTCAGGAGGAACGAGAGCTTGCCTGTGCACATGATCTAGTCTGCAATCAGAAAAGAGTAAGAGCAGTTGAAGATGATACCATTTTGGGTTTGGACCAACATATTTATGAGTTATCACCAGAAAGTGGAGCAAACTGTCCCACTGATTCCTTAATAATTCAGAATCACAGAATTGCTGCTTAGAAAAGGCCTCTGGAGGTCATGTACAGGATACACTAGACAGGGCCATTTAGGGCTTTGTCTAGTACAATCTGGACAACTGCCAAGGATGGAGATCTCAGGTACATTTTGGGTAACATGTTCCAGCACTGCACTATCCTCCTGGTGAAGAGCCACAGCAATTACTGAATTATTCCTGGAACTGTAAGGATTGCTTTGCCTCTTTTACCACTGAGTTCCTAGCACTGATTATGTTGGCTATTGACAACTGCTTCTGTTGAAGTATGTCAGACAGGTAATAAACCGTTACATCTCATGAGACACTCAGCATTCTTTCAGAAGCAGTATTTCTGACTCCTGCTGAAACCTATGAGATTAGAGGGCAGCCTACATAGCTCAAGATTAAGAAGTTTAAATCCCCTACAAAAAGTAGAAGAACACAAGAAGAAAAAGAATGCACTAGTGTATTAGAGTGCTGCATAGCTTATCTGAATAAAAGGTGTGTATTAACAACACTATCAGCTTCCAATTAAAAAGCAATCATGAAGACAAACTGCTTTATTAGCTTCACTGCGCAGTGGATGCAGACAAAATATTTTCTGCTACAAACCTTGCCAGTATTTGGCATGACTGCCTTTCCATCAAGAGTATTCCCATATTTCTCAATCTTTTTGCAAGTTAGTTTAAACCAAAGTAATACAGTCATAAATGCTAACATGCTAAAAATCATTGATAGCTTTTTTCATCACCACACAACTGACAAAACAGTTTCTTAGTGTGTTAGCAAAAAATTAAATGTATTTTTGAACAGCATTTTAAAATAAGATCTTTCTAAAGCTACCAGACTTAGTAATTTCAAATCTCTGAAACAGTCAAGCAAAATACGTACCTGCAACTGGAATATTCTGTGAGACTGACAGCTGTACATCTCCAGTCCCAGGTGGCATGTCAATTACTAAATAGTCCAGTTGATCCCAGTCGACCTAGAAGACAACAATAAAAATGTATACTGGAGGTTTGAAATGCTTTTACTTAAGGCACATTATGTTTTATTGCAGTCCTGGTTCCTGTAATGCAAAACAGAAATGAACTAAGGACACCCCAAAACAAGGACACCCTTTTAGTCACACTTACAACATATATAAGATCACACAATAAAAAAAAGTTTATTGGTTGCTAGGCATGAGAGTGACCATTAAAGATTAGGCTAAAGATATTAGGCATGAGAATGCTGTGACTCTTTCCCTTCTTTACTAGGAGAGATTTCCAGGAGAGGCAAATAACTCTTTAGAGCACTGTGTACTGCAATGAATGTTCTCTTCATGAGAACAGAAATGGTCCTAGGCCTACTCTGTATAATACAAAGCCAAGATATACTAGGTCTTTTGTCTCTGCACTATATATTTTTTGGAAAATCATAACTGCATTAAAAATAAAGACCCACAAATGGGTATGTTCAAATACAGTATGTTTCTGATATATAACATACAACACTATGATCTGCTTTAATACAGGACAATACAAAAGAAGAGAATTTTACTTTCTCTTTTATTTTACACATTCCCTCAGTGTCATTTTAACAGCAAAAACAACTGACATTTTTCCAGTCCCCCAGCTGCTGTCCTGAAGTGTTAGACCCTACCAGGGGAACACTCATTCATTTTCATTCAGTTCCTGTACAGATGATGATCTTCTGGGGAAGCACAAGCAATGTGAAATCCAGACCACAAACCCAGTGCAGCACTCCAGTAAGAAATCAAATTTTTCAGGGCAGACTGATGAAGATGGAAGATTTCAGAGCACTTATGGGAGAAGGGGGATGGGGAAGGTTAGTTGCAAACTCTTAACTTCAGACATCTAAATTAGGGACTCTCAGGCACACCTCCCCTTTCTCATTTTTTATACAGAGGCTGCAGGAGCACTAAATGGTGCCAAAGACAGTCTTGCTAAACAGGAAATGCTACTTATGTTCACCACAGCAAACCCTGCACTTTTTCACATTTAATATTGATCTGTATTATCTATACTATGTTATTTTATATTATTTGTATTTTGTCAACAAAAGTAACACAATACCTAGATTTCTAAAAGTAATTGGCATTCATAATCATATTACGACAAAGAAAATCCAAATAAAGATTACATATATGCACAAAAATGTATGCATAGGGTAGAGAAGACAGTTTATCTACCCAAAAAAATTCTGGTTTTTACTTTGTTTTTCTTTGCTAATCTTGCTTAGTTATAAAGCAAGATAAATGCCAGTGCTGGTGAATGCCTTCTTTTCCCATGAAAGTCACTTGGCTCACTTGAAGGCATCAACTTTAAATTTCTTCATTTCTTAATTAAAAAATAATCATTATAAAGGTGATCAACTGAAATTATTGATATTAAAAAGTAATAGTTTACAACATGAGTCAAGTTCCTTAAAGATTCACAACTAAACACACAGATCCTGTATAAATAATTGCATAAATCTCAATATGCAAAATCGAATTTTTCACAATAATCACAGCCATTTTGAAACACTACAGTAGAGAGAGGTTTACTTTTTTAAAAGTATTAACTCAAAATACCTTTTTTTACCTTATCTCTTTATAAAGGCTGATCCTGGCATCATTTGTTAAATCCAAGTTTACAAGTCCAGTAATCATATTCTGCTTTTTTTAGTTTTCAGACCTTTGCTCCATAAGCAAAAAATTCACGTACTTTTAGGTACAGAACTGCCTCATGGGAGCAGTACAAGACAAACCACATCTCACCCTTATTAGAGGTAATTTGTATAAAAAAAAGTATGTAGACTGGGGTTATCTTCCCATATTTAAAAACGGTCTGGTTTTGCATACACTTGCTGGCCCTAACTTTAAGCTAGCTCCTTCGTGGAACAAGGTGACTTTCTGGTCGTGTCCTATGACTTTTCACTGTTACAAGAGGTACTGCTCCTCCAACTTCTTCCAGCACTAGTCTCCTGCACTAAACTCCATGTGATCCTCTTACCTAGAAAACACTACAGTTCCCTGAAGAAAACGTCCAGCCGTATCCCACTGCTATGCGGAACCCTAATGGAGAAGACCTTGAACACCAGTGCTCAAAGCCTTTCTCAGATGTTCAGTTTTGAGGGGAAGCACAAAGCAGTTGCTGTTTGTCCAAGCTGAGGTAGCTGCCTTGGTAAAAATGTCTCCATGTAGAAATTTTAAAGTAAAAGAGCATGTGTATAAATAGCTTTACTGCTTCACAAAACAACTGTTGCTCAAGAAGTCACTTTGAAAATTTACCACATGTAGAAGAATGGAAGAACGGGTACAGAAATCAGTGGGCACCAGAACTTCCTGCCTCAAGCTTCCTTAGTAAGTGACCCTATAAAAACAAAAATAACTCTAACATGAATTTTCTGGATTTCCCTATGAGTAATGATTCTTATTAAAGTTATAAACCTCTGAAAGCAGAAATTAATAATGGAATCTTAAGCACACAGTGAATCTCATGGTAAATCTCATTGCTAGGCAACAGGAAAAATACTCTTAACGAAGCAATTAAATTATAACGCTTTATTTAATTTATGGCATTGAAACCATCTTATTTCATACATTTTGTTCAAATTCATGGATTGAAAAAGGAAAAAAAAGAAATGAGGTGTCTTTATCAAATTAACTGTGCTCCATTATAATGCTTTTAAATCTAGCACAGAAAAATGGAGAAGCTACACCATCCCAGCACCAGTGGAGAGGATGTGCTGCTGCTGTGCACTGCAGGAGGAGTACACACTTTGTCACAGAAGTTCAGGAAAGGCAACAGTGCAGATGCCTCCACACACCTCTCTGTGTTATGTAACTGCTGTGGCACTGAACTGGTGGAAATCAGTTAGCAAAACTAGATTGGAAAACCACTCCTTATTAGAACTAACCTTGCTTTTCATTTTGGTTGGAGTCAGTCATCCTCACAATTTTACCCTCTTCCTTTTCATTTGTAATTCGAGGTGAGATTGGAGAGCTGCACCACCATGACATAGCTATAACTGCTGAAAAGACCTGAACTAGTGATTTTGCCCAGTAGTGAGCAGTGTCCTCAAGATACGGATTTTCTCAGCCAACTCTGCACCTCATCAGATTTCTCTCTGTAGAATTCCTCTTACTCCCTTCTGTTCTGCAAGAAGATGATGATGAACACTATGGAGTTCAGCTGCTCTTCACTAACACAGAAGCAGTATGGCAGTCTTTTATTAAACAAGTTACTGAATGTAATTGGAAGGTATATTGATTTGTTGTAGAAGTGTACACACTTAATGAGGGAAGAAATTCTAGGTCTGTTACAAAACTTCAGCAAAGGAGAAAAAAAAGAGGGGAAAGACATTTTTAATTAAATTTTGAACTGGAGCATACAATCAGAGGAGTGGCTTTCTGAAACCTACTATTGACATCCATTCAACAATATTAGAATGGGACATATAATCAGGCAGTGATATAAAACACCAATTTGAATGCAAATCCTATTTATATGCAACAATTTACCAAATCAGAACCACTAGTCCTCATGTTCTCAATCAGTTCTGAGAAGTGTGTCTGTATGCAAATGTGGATGCATACAAGTAAATGAGCTCAGATTAACAGCACATTACAGTAAACGAGTTCCCTTTGCAAGCAATAAGCGGACAGCGGCTACAAAAGCCTGGCTTATAGCATCTGAAATCTGTCAGCACCTTTGCATGTACAGAAGTGTTAATACCTTTGCCTCTCTAACATATACAGTGTGTACAACATTTCAAACCATGGAAATGTAATTGCACTTTCCTTAAGCATAGCATTCATCTTTTTTAAAAAAGGTTTAACCTGACATTTATTGTTAAGCAATGTAATTAAGTGCCATGTGATTCTGTGTATTTTCCCTTGTTCAGAAACACCACAAATGCTTCCATGCAAATTACTTTAATCAATCACTCTGTTTATGTGACAATTCATAATCAAAATACCAGATATCCGTTTAGTAAGGGTTCCAAATAGCAAGTTAAACCTGAAGCAGAGTACAGAGGTACAGAGGGCATTTCTATTGACGAATGAAGCCTGAACATCCACTGTACACGAGGCAGAAATGACAGAATATTAGCAAAGATGAGGGATTTCTACTTGCGGTTTTGAAATAATCCTGGTGTTTGGTAAATAACAGAAGACATTATTTATTTGTTCATATTAAGAGGAATACATGCAGAGTTTCAATCAAGCAGCACTGCAGGTGCAGACTTGGCAGCAGCCAGCCAGACTCTGAACACCAGTATCAGGGAAGTACCAAGAGCTACATTGCAGGCAGCTTAAGGCCTACTCCTGCCAGATCCCAGCTCCTCCTAACTACTTTGTTGTGTATACAAATGATTTAATACATGCAAACAGCAGAACAGAATAAAGGTAAGAAATGCTGTTGTTAAATGAATATGTATAGAACTGCTTACATATATTTATATGTTAGTAGAAGATAAATATTTTAAAATATTTCCTTGAGAAATTACTTAAGGATTCTGCTTAAGCATACATAGGTATCGGGAGCAAATAAGTAGTTTCATGATGCAAGAAAACAGATAATTTAGGAACAGCATGATGAAGAATGGCATTTTAATTTTAAAATATTTTCAGTTATTTCCACAAATAGAGGAGACATTCCCCAGACATTAACCAGAATATTTTAATTCCCTACAAAACCTTCTCTATGGTAGTGATATAGATACTTACACCACAGCATGATACTCCACAGTGCTTAATACAACTCTTCCTTCTGAATACAGCCTAATACAATGCTTTCAGAACAAAGATATCTGCCCCTTTGACTTGTTCTCTGATGCTTAAGCAATCTCACAGCCTTGCATCTAACCATGAAAAACAGATGCACTGCAACGGTTCAAATTCCCTTGAACGTATTTCTGAGAAGCTTGATCTGCCAAGTTCAGAGAGAAATTGAGGTGAAGAACAGTTTGCTCCAAAGGTTTCCATAAAGAGAA